AAGTGAGGTGACACAAGACATGGAAAATGGGGGGCGGGGCAATATTTGTAACCTAAAATATTTGTACTTCCTATTATATGATGAAATAAAAGAAAATTATTAAGCAAAAAAAAGAGAGAGAGAGAGTTGTTCCTAAAAATATGAGGTTGTGAACTGTCACAGAAAATGCAATAAATATTTGATGAATGAAAGAAGAGATGGATGGATTGAATAGGATGACTGAAGGATGGCAAGACACCCAAAGGACAACATTAACAACATACTTATCACTTACTGTCTTTTTTACCAGGTGACCTCATTCATAAATTTTTATGGAGTAACAGCTCTATGCCCCACACTTCATTAAGTATATCATTAAGTAGTATCACCATATAAGCAGAAGCAAAGACAAAGATCCTATGATCCTCTAAATAGACTCAGAAAAGCATTTGACAAATTCAACACCCTTTTATGATAAGGACCGCTCAACACAATAGGCATAGACGGGCTTACCTAAAATGATACAGTATATATGACAAACCACAGCCAATATCATACTGAATGGGGAAAAATTGAAAGCACTCCCACTTAGAACTGGAGCAAGACAAGGTTGCCACTATCTCCACTTCTGTTCAACATAGTGCTGGAGTCCCGCTACAGCAATCAGACAAGAGAGCAGAATTAAGGCGTCCAAATGGAACAGAAGAGATAAACTCTCATCTTTGCTGATGAACATATAACCTAGAAACCCCAAGGTTCAATGAAGAGACTCCTTGATCTGATAAATGATTTGGTAAAGTCTCAGGATACAAAATCAATACACAGAAATCAGAGGCATTCATATACACTAACAACAGTAAAAGTGAGAACCAAATCAAAGACTCAATTCCCTTCAAAATAGCAACAAAGAATAAAGTACCTGGAATATATTTAACTAGGAGGTAAAAGACCTCTACAGGGAGAACTATTGAAACACTGAAAAGAAAATAGCAGAGGACGTAAACAGATGGAAGAATATACCATGCTCATGGTCGGCAGAATCAACATTGTTAAAATGTCTATACTACCCAAAGTGACCTACAGAGTCAATGCAATCCTTATCAAATACCATCATCATTTTCACAGATATAGAACATATTTTATGCTTTATAGAACCAGAGAAGACCTTGTATGCAAATCAATCCTAGGCAATGAAAACAAAATAGGAGGTATCAATTTACCAGACTTCAAAGTATAATGCAAGGCTATAGTCATTAAAACAGATTTTCACTGGCACAAGAACAGGGACATTGACCAGTAGAACAGAACAGATATATACATCCTCATACAAGCCAACTAATCTTTGACAAAGCAGACAAAAACATACACTGGGAAAAGAATCCTTATTCAATAAATGGTGGCGGGAAAACTGGATAGCCACATGTAGAAGACTGAAACAAGACCCACACTTTTCACCTCTCACAAAAATCAACTCAGGCTGGGTAACAGACTTGAACCTTAGGTGTGAAACTATTAGAATTCTAGAGGAAAATGTTGAAATACTCTTCTAGACATTGGTTTAGGCAAAGAATTATGAAGAAGACCCCAAAGGCAATCACAACAGCAACAAAAATAAACAAATGGGACATGATCACAGCCAAAGAAACTGTCAAGATAGCAAACAGACAACCCAGAGAATGGGAGAAAATTTTCGCTAGCTACACATCTGATAAAGGGCTAATAACTAGAATCTATTTAGAACTCAGGAAAATCAGCAAGATAAAATCAAACAACCCTATCAAAAAAATGGCAAAGAACTGAACAGAAACTTCTCAAAAGAAGACAGAATAATGGCAACAAACATATGAAAAATGTTCAACATCTCTAATCATCAGGGAAATGCAAATCAAAACCACAATGAGATATCACTTAACTCCAGTGAGAATGGCCTTTATCCAGAAGTCCCCAAACAACAAATGCTGGCATGGATGCAGAGAGAGAGGAACACTGCTACACTGCTGGTGGGACTGCAAACTAGTTCAACCTCTGTGGAAAGCAATATGGAGATACCTCAAAGCGATACAAGTAAATCTACCATTGATCCAGCTTTCACTACTGGGCATCTACCCAAAAGATCAAAAGTCACTTTTTGAAAAAGACACCTGCACTCAAATGTTTATAAGCAGCACAATTCACAATTGCAAAGCTGTGGAAACAACCCAAGTGCCCATCAATTCATGATGGATTAAATGTGGTATATGTATACCATGGAATACTACTCAGCTTTAAGAAACAATGGTGATATAGCACCTCTTGTATATTCCTGGATACAGCTGGAACCCATCCTACTAAGTGAAGTATATCAAGAATGGAAAAATCAACACCACATGTACTCACCAGCAAATTGGTATTAACGGATCAACACCTAAGTGGACAAATAGGAGTAACATTTATCAGGTGTCGGGAGGGTGGGAGGGAGGAGGAAGGGATGGGTATATACAACCACAATGAGTAAGATGTGCAACGTTTGGGGGATGGACACGCTTGAAGCTCTTACTCAAAGGGGGAGGTGGGCATGGGCAATGTATGTAACCTTAACACTTGTACCCCCATAATATGCTAAAATAAAAAATAAATAAAAATAAATGTTAAAAAAGAGAAAATCTGTAGAAGGGGAAAAATATTTGCAAAATAGTCACTTGACAAGGTACTAATATTCAGAATATACAAGGAATTCAAACAACTCAACAATAAATAATAATAATAATCCCACCAAAAAAGTGGCCAAAGGGCATGAATAGACATTTTTTCAAAAGAAGACATATGCATAGCTGACAGGTATATAAAACAATACTCAACCTCACTACCTACCAAAGAAATATAAATTAAAACCACAATGATATATTATCTTACCCTAGATAGAATGACTGTTATTAAAAACACAAAAATAACAGATACTGGTCAGGATGCAGAGAAAAAGAACCTCTTATACATTGCTGGTGGGGATGTAAATTACTACAGTGATTATTAAAAACAGTATGGAGATTTCTCAAAAAAAAAAAAAAATAGAACTACCATACAATCCAGTAGTCCTACTGGTGGGTATTTATCCAAAGAAAAAGTAAACAGTATATCCCTAGAATGATATACATTACTAGATCACTAATGCCAATGCTTGTACAAAGGTGAGGCCTGTAAACATATCATCATATTTGTTTTATGTTGGTTAGTATAGTTATTTCTAAGCTGTTTTGTAAGGAAAAGTAAAGTTTTTGTCAAGATCCCCAGGTACATAATGTATAGCCCTCATTTTGGTAGGGATTATAACAATTCATGGAAAATTTTCACAGCCATAATATCTCTTGTGATTCTCTCAATTACCTTTACCTAAGGTAAAATTATCCCAGTTAAAGACAAGAGAGCAAGGCCTCACAGATTGGCCAAAGACATGCTCTCTGCGGGTAGTAAAGCTGACCCTGGAACCCATAACCTCTCCATCTCACATGCTTCTCTCCAAGCAAAACAATCACTTCAAGCAAATTCAGCATTTACTGAGTGTGTACTATGATGCAATAGTCAATGATTTACCCCAATCAATGACTTTCAAAATAAACATTGAGTTAATCATTGCAGCGCCAGTTAACTAAAATAGGGATTAGAAAAGTTTGATTTTGTAACATTTAGAACTCTCATGAGCCCGGGTCTCAGTGAACTCTTTATCTAGAACAAAGAGGAGCATTAATTTAATGTCTGGTTTGTGTAGCTTTAAACTCTAAAAGAACCACATTCCCTTATTTTGGATAAAATAACCTTGATGGCTCTCTTTAGATCATTCACTTTATTCCCTAAGTGATGAGTGTCTCCACTCTCCTCTTTCCTACCAAAAGGTTCCTGTCTGGCCCTTTCTCTTTTTATAGAATGAGAGAATTATAAATAATTGGAGACAGAAAGGATCTCAGAGATCTTATAGCCTAATCTCTTTATTTTTAGGAATAAGGAATTGGTGACTCAGTGAGGTGAAGTGTCACCAATGCATCACAACAAGACCTTGTTTTAGCATTCAGGTTTCCAATTCCCAGTTCAGTTATTCTCACATTGAAGAGTTCCCATCACTACCCAAGCATATGGACAAGAGGCATCATCAGGAAACCCTCCACAGACACAGAGTCATAAACATTGCTTGGCGATAGCTGTTTGTTTATAAATAACCATTTTCTTTGAAGAATAATGTATGTAGAGAAAGTTGCACATGTCTTAAATATGTAGCTCAATGAATTGTCAAAAAGTGAATATCTGTGTAACCAACACAAAAATCAAGAAAAAGAATTTTGGCCAGGTGCAGTGGTTCGTGCCTGGATTCCTAACACTCTGGGAGGCTGAGGTAGGAGGATTGCTTGAGCTCAGGAGTTCTAGACCAGCCTGAGCAAGAGCAAGACCTGTCTCCACTAACAATAGAAAAATCAGCCAGGCATTTGGTCCCCACTTGGTAGTCTCAGCTATTCTGGAGGCTGAGGCAGGGGGATCACTAGAGTCCAGGAGTTTGAGGTTGCAGTGAACTATGATGACGCCACTACACTCTACCCAGGGCCACAGAGTGAGACTGTCTCCAAGAAAAAAAAAGAAAAAAAAAGAATTTTTCCAGGACCCCAAAAGACCCATTATGCTTCCTCCTGCTCACAAACAGGTGATAGATAGATATAGATAGATAGATCTGACAATCACAAATGTACAGAAAAGTTGAATGTACATACAAAGAATTTGTTTTCTTTTAAGCTATTTTAAATTGCTGACCTGATGTTACTAAAACCTAAAATATGTTAGAATGCATTTCCTATAAACAAGGCAATTCTCCTCCATAACTATAACACAACTATCAAAATCAGAAAATGAATATTGATGTATTACAGCCATCTAACCCTCAGCCCCCATTCCTATTTCCCCAATAAATTACAATGATTGCTTTATGTCCAGTTCAGAATCCATTCTGTGACTCCCAAACAAGGCAGCCTCCCTTACCTTCCCCACATGAGTGGCTTCCTCACCTCTCTAAGGCTCTGACTCCCCATGCTAGACCACTCCTCCATGGGGATGCTGTTTGCACACTGCTTGGCTCTGAGTTCCCTCACCAGGCGGCCCCATCTTCTGCATCAATGTCTTCCTTACTTACTCAAGCTCTGATACTCCATCCCCGCCTACCACACTGGATGCCCATTTCTTTGTTTGATACAATCTGTGAAATCCCAAATTAAGTGCCCAACAGCATGGAGGTCCTCATCACCTGCTCAGGATTTGATGCACATGCCTTTCTGTGACACTGCCTGCCTTTCTGTGACACTGCCGTCTCCCTGATCAGCACCTCATACACCATCCCAGGCAGCCTCTCTGCAGGAGTGTCTCTTTTAACCTGATTGGGCTCTGACAGATAACTCAGAGAAAGCAGTTCTATCACGAGTGCCATAAATACCTAACTTATTTGGACCCATAGTGGATTTGGTACTGGATTGTTTTGAGAGGTAATGGGAAAGGAAGGTGAGAAGGAAGGGGAGGATTTGGTTATATATTTAACAAATATCTCCTCCTCAGTTGGATATGTTTTTAGTATTTTAATGAAGACTTTCATCAATTTATTAATCTTTTCTATTATGATTGGTGCTTTTGTGTCCTATTTAACATCTGTTTTCCTTCCTTTAGTGGGCAAATAGTAGTCCCCAAAAAGATGTCTACATCCTGATCACTGGAACATGTAAATATTTTACTTTACATGGGAAAATGGAATTTGCAGAAGTGATTAATTTAAGGATTTTGATAAGATTATCATGGATTATTGTATCTGCCTCCTTGTATGGGTAATGAGCGATTGTGAATTTAGTCCTAGAACCTGGGACCTGGCTTCAAGAGATAGGAGGGTTATTGAGAAGCCATGCTGCACTGCATGTCCTGTGGCTGGCAGGGGCTGGTAACAGTATCAGGTGAAGGTGAGGCATCACCAAAATTACTGGAGAGATCAAGAATTAGGGAAAGGATACAGGACTGGACTTGATACTTGACTCAGCCAAAGCTCAGGTTTGCTTTCCTTCTCTAACACTCAGATCCCTTATTTTGAGAAGACTCTCACTCTCTTATTATGGGAATTCAATAGCATGTTACTTTTTAAATGAGGACTTTCATCAACATGTTCATCTTTTCCATCATGATTGGTGCTTTTTGCATCCTGTTTAGGTGATTTTTTCTTTACTTGCAGTAGGCAGAAAAATAACCACCCCCTCAAAAAATGACCCCTACCTAACCCCCAGAATTTGCAAATATATTTCCTTGCATGACTAAACTAAATTATAAATGTAATTAAAGTAAATATAATTGACATGGACTGATTGTCTTGAATTATCCAGGTAGGCTCCATGTAATGGCATAGGTCCTTATAAGAGAAAAAGGGAGTTAAGAGGGTCAGAGTGAGAGAGAGATTTGAAGATGCTATGTTGTTGGTTTTGAAGATGGAGGAAGAGGCCAAATGCCAATGAATGTAGAAAGCCACTATACAGTGGAGAAGACAAGGAAACCTATTGTCATCTAGACCCTCACCCCCAGAAATGAACACAGCCCTGCAGCACCTTACTTTTAGCCCAGTGGCAATAATTTTGGGCTTTTAACCTCCAGGACTATCAGATAATAAATCTGTGTTATTTTAAGCCACCTAGTTTATAATTTATTATCATAGCAATATGAAAGTAATACACTACCCAAAGTCATGATTATATTCCATGTGATGGAAACACTTGATTGTTTAACTTTTCACATTCACATTTCACTTGAAATTGTTTTCTGTGTATGGTGCAATACAGAGGTCAAATACCATTTTTGTTTTCATGTGGATAGCAAATTCACATAGCACCATTTATTGAAAAGTCTGCCATTTCTTAATAACACTGCATGCCATCTTCATCATAAATAAAGCAATCACATGTACACAAGTCTATTTGTTGAATCTCTGTTAAATTTCATTGATTTATTTCTCCATCATTATAGATACAGCACACTATCTTAACTATAATACTTTTAAAATAGATCTTCATATCTATTAGATAATACCCAATTGTATTTTGATTGATTTTTGTATTTTGAACCATTCTTGCATTTCAGGAATAAATCCCATTTCATCATGGTGCATATTCTTTTTAATAAGCTATTTAATTTGGTTTGCTAGCATTGGGCTAAGGATTTCTAAATCAATATTCATAAGAGATATGTCTGGTTTTATGCCAGTAAAACATATGCTGCTTCAGTTACTATAGCTTTTTAATATATTTTGAAATTTGGTAATGTGATGCCTCCAGCTTTGTTCTTTTTGCTCAAGATAACTTTAGCTATTCAGGGTCTTTTGTCATTCCACACAAATTTTATTGTTGGTTTTTCTATTTTTATGAAGAATCACATAGGAATTTTTATATGGATTGCATTGAATCTATAGGTTGCTTTGGATAGTATGCACATTTTAATTATACTAATTCATGAACACAGGATATCTTTCCATTAATTGTGTCATCTTCAATTTCTTCCATCAATGTTTTATACTTTTCAGTATGCAGTGTTTACTTCTTTGGTTAAATTTGCACCTATGCAAATCAACAATCTAATGAATCCTCTTAAGGAAGTAGAAAAGGAACAGAAAACCAAACTCAAACCCAACATAAGAAAAAAAATAACTAAAGTCAGAGCAGAACTAAATGAAATCAAAAACAACAACAACAAAAATACAAAAGATTAATCAAACAAAAAATTGGCTTTTTGAAACAATAAACAAAATTGATAGACCTCTCCCAATATTAACTGGAATTGGAAAAGAAAGGACCCAAATAAGCTCAATCAGAAATGAAAAAGGAGATATTATAACTGATACCACAGAATTAAAAAACATCATCTTTGAATGCTATGAAAACTTCCATACACATACACTCAAAAACGTTGGGTTTTTGAGGAAATGGACAGATTCCTGGAACCACACAACCTCCCAAATCTCAAATCCCAATAAGGAAGAAATAGAATTCCTACACAGACCAAAACAAGCAACAAAATGGAGCAGTAATAAAAAAAATCTTCCATCAAAAAAAGTCCCAGATCAGATGGTTTCATAGATGAATTTTATCATACCTACAAAGAATTGGTACCCATACTGCAGAAATTGTTTTAGGATATTGAGAAGGAAGAAATCCTATTCAACTCACTCTATGTAGCCATTATCACCTTGATACCACTGCCAGGAAAAAAACATACACACACAAAAAAGGAGAATTATAGACCAATATCCTTTATGAATATAGATGCAAAAATTCTCAACAAAATTCTAGCCAACTGAATTCAGCATACCATCAAAAAATAATCCACTACAACCAAGTGGGCTTCATCCCAGGGATGAACGGATGGTTCAACATTTGCAAATCAACAAATGTTATACACCACATAAACAGACGCAAAAACAAAGATTGTATGATCATCTAAATAGTTGCAGAAAAAGCATTTGAAAAAATTCAACATCGTTTTATGATAAAAACTCTAAACAAAATAGGCATATATGGAACTTAGTCCAAAATTATAAAAGGCATGTATGACAAACCCACAGTGAACATCATGCTGAATGGAGAACAGTTAAAAGGATTCCCACGTAGAACTGGAACAATACAATAATGCTCACTGTCACCACTTCTATTCAACATAGTGCTGGAATTCCTAGTCAGAGCAATCAGGCAAAAGAAGAAAACTAACTGTACTCAAATGGAGAAAGCAGAGTTCAAAATATCACTCTTTGCTGATGATATGATCTTATACTAGAAAATCCCGAAGACTCTGCCAAGAGATTCCTAGAATTGATAAATAAATTCAGCAAGGTGTTAGGAGACAAAATTAATGTACACAGATCAGTAGTATTCCTATACACCAACAACAGTCAGGCTGAGAATCAAATGGAAGACACAATACCTTTCACAATAGCTGCAAAGAAAAGGAAATACCTAGTAATATAGTTAATCAAAGGAGTGAAAGATCTCTACATTGGGTAGTACAGATGTATAGATCTTTCACCTCGTTGTTTAAATATATCCAATAAAGAGATAATAACCAGAATCTACAAGAACTCAAGCAAATCAGAAAGAAAATATCAAAAAAAAACATTAAAAATGGGCAAAAGACATGAACAGAAGCTTTTCAAAAGAAGATAGACTAATGGCCAAAAAGTGTATGAAAAAATGCTCAACATCTCTAATCTTTAGGGAAATACAAATCAAAACCACAATGAGATATCAGCTAACTCCAATGAGATTGGCTTTTAGCAAAAAGTCCCAAAATAGTAGATGCTGCTATGGATGCAGAAAGAAAGGAACATTTATACACTGTTGGTGGGACAAGAAACTAGTACCACGTCTATGGAAAATAGTATGGAGATACCTCAAAAAACTGAAAGTAGGCTGACCATCTGATCCAGCAATTCCACTACTGGGTTTTTGCCCAATGGACAAAAAGATATTTTATAAAAAAGACACTTGCACTTGAATGTTTATAGTAGCACAATTCACAATTGCAAAGATGCAAAACCAATCTAAGAACCCATCCATACATGAGTGGATCAATAAAATGTGGTATATGTATACCACGGAGTGTTACCCCCCCAAAAATGGTGAACTAATACCTTTTGTAGAAACCTGATGGAACTGGAGACTAGCCTTTTAAGTGAAGTATCACAAGAAAGAAAGAACAAAAACCACACGTACTCACTACTAAATAGAAACATACAGATTAACATTCATGCACACATATGGTAGTAAATTTCAAAAGAAATCAAGCAGGGCAGTGGAAGGAGGAGGAGATGGGTAAATTCACACCTAACAGGTACAATACACACTTTATGGGTGATAGACACACTTACAGCATTGACTCAAACTGTACAAAAGCATCTCATGCAATCAAAATGTTTGTATCCTCATAATATTCTAAAATATCAATTAATTATTTAACTAATTAATTTAAAATAGCTCTACAAAGAGAACTATGAATCACTGAGGAAGAAAATTGCAGATGATGTAAACAAATGAAAAACATATCATGGTCATGGATCAGCAGAATCAACATTGTTAAAATGTCCATAGTACCCAAAATGATTTATAGATTCAATGCAATCCCCACAAAATACTAACATCATTTTTCACAGATCTAGAAAAAATAATTCTATACTTCATTTGGAACCTGAAAAGGGCCTGAATAGCCAAAGCAACCTCAAACAAAATAAACAAATCTGGAGGTATCACCTTACCAGACTTTAAGCTATACTAAAAGGCTATAGCAACCAAAGCAGCATGGCATTGGCACAAAAATAGAAACATAGACCTATGAAACAGAACAGAGAACCCAGATATAAAACCATCCACATATTGCCATCGGATATTTGACAGAGCAGACAAGAATATACACTGGGGAAAAGAAGCCCTATTCAATAAATGGTGCTGGGAAAACTAGAGAGCCACATGTAGAAGATCGAAACAGGATCCATACCTCTCACCACTCACTAAAATTAATTCAAGATATATTTTAGACTTAAACTTAAGACATGAAACCATTAGAATTCTAGAAGAAAATGTTGGAAAAACTCTTCTATATGTCAGCCTAAGCAAAGAATTTATGAAGAAGGCCCAATAACACAGCAATAACAAAAATAAAAAATGGGACTTGATTTAATTAAAAGATTTCTGCACAGACAAGGAAACAATTAACAGAGTAAATAGAAAACCTACAGAATAGGAGAAAATATTCACATGCTATACATCAGATAAAGGGCTAATAACCAGAATCTACAAAGAGCTCAAACAAATCAGTAAGAAAACATCAAACAACCCCATTAAAAAGTAGGCAAAAGAAATGAACAGAAGCTTTTCAAAAGAAGATATATTAATGGCCAATAAACATATGAAAAAAATGCTCAATGTCTCTAATCATCAGGGAAATGCAAATCAAAACCACATTGAGATATCACCTAACCACAGTGAGAATGGCCTTTATCAAAAAGTTCCAAAACAATAGATACTGGTGTGGTTGCTGAGATAAAGAAACACTTATACACTGTTGGTGGGACTGGAAACTAGTACAACCTCTATAAAAAATAGTATGGAGACCCCTCAAAGAACTAAAAGTAGATCTAAAATTTGATCCAGTAATCCCAACACTGGGTATTTACCCAAAGGAAAAAAG